ATTTTCAATATTTCAATTGTATTATTTTAGTTTTTGAAATATTTAATATATTTTTATTTAGTCTCTCAAACAGACATCATCTAGATTTCTAACAATTTTTAATTATAAATTTATCACGTAATACTTAAATATGGATAAAAAAATAATTTAAATAATTTTTGACTAAATTTTTACCCAAATTTTAAGATAAGAGCTACCTAAATTACATAATTTTTATTATGAGTTATCCCAATTTTGGTCAAGAGTTATCCATATTACATATTTTTAATTAAGAGTTACTTAAATTATTTTTTGTTCATATGTAGATATCATGTGACAAATTTATGATCAAATTATTAACAATTTGAATATTGTCTGCTTAAAGAACCACATAAAAACATATTTAATACTTCATTGACTAAATTGATGCAAGTAAAGTATTGAGAAATCAAAATGAGACAAATTTATACTTTGAGGACCTCCAATATAATTAAGCCTTACTTGAATTTGACCATTGTTCCTCTTGAACTTGCATTTAAAGTAGAAGTTGCATTTAAAGTAGCAGAGAAGGGTGGAAGCTTGGAGCCAACTATGTCTTCAAGAACTTATCTCAGGATTTTGAGGGCGGTTACTAAAAGGAGTCTCTTGCATGGACTTCTTGGTCTAGCTTGATGGTTTAACTCGGCTTTGAAATTAATAGGTCTTTGATCCAATAATACTCCTTATTTTGTAAAAGTTTTACTTTCTTGAAGTCAATGGTTCAAGTCCCCTTCCCCTATCCCCTCCAAAAAAACTGAAATAAAATAACTCGGCTTCAAAAGGGATCTTCACAAGGTTTTAGGCGCACTTGGGGGAAGGACTACCCTTAATATGATATGAGCAATTTAGAAACGATACCGAATTAACTGATAAATAGAAGAAACTAACAACTCCCGTAATGAACCTAAACTAAAGGCGGAAAGAGTCGCTCACTGAATACCTATTTAATAGATTGAGTGAATCCTAAAGTCGAAAGACGAAGGCAGAAGCAAGGATAACTACTAAAAAAAAGAAGGCCGAAGCAAGGATAACTACTAACAAAAAAAGAGAAACTCGAGACATAAAGAAGAAGACTGCTAATAAAAAAAGCAATACGATAAGGAAGGGAAACTAAGGCAGCTAAGCCACTAGCACGAAGGAGCTACTTCGATAGTTTGGAAAAAAAAAGGACAATGCAATGGTCAATTGTTTTGAACACATCAATTTACAACATTCAGAAGAAAATTCATGGTTCAGCTATATGAACTGGGATTGAATCATGATTTCAACCTCATGAATCATTACATAGTCTTCCATGGATAAAAAAATTGTGCAATAGAAATAAAAAAAATCAAAATACTATTGGAATCATGTGAAAAGATTGAAAGGAATTCTTAGGATTAAAAGTTTGTTTTACTATTTTATAAAACGAATGACAATTACCAGTTTATATTCTTGTTATTCAAAAATGTTGGAACAAAAACTTAATTGGCACAATTAACTTTATTTAGGGTTCATATATTTTACTCGAAAAGAAACTGGATCTATGTAATATTTCCTAGACAAAATGAAAATTTAAAATTATGATATAATCTAATAGAATATTTTATAAACTATACAATAATTGAGGGCTGATCTGTATTGGTCAATGATGTACGATACAATCAATTCTATACCTACACCTATTTGAATCTTTTTTGTGAGCCATGATGTCCCAATGTTTCAACCTCCAACTCTGTCCTCATCCCCACCATGCCCTGACCTCAGCAATCTTCTCTACCCTAAAACCCAGCCTCCTCCTCACCGCCTCTCTCTCTCCAACCAACAAATTAACTCTCATCCTTCTCTCCACAAAAGGTTTCCCTCTGTCTCACTCATGGCCCCAAGCCGACCCCAAATTAGTTCCCAATTTGATGGGTTTGAGCCTGATCCTACCCTCATCGACGAAGATCTCCATCCGACAACAACCAATTGCTAGTTTATGGGTTGGACTTTTGGTGGCTGTGCCAACGTACTACTTGGCTGGTAGTTTTCTTGATCTTGGCATGGCTTTGATGGCAAGGAATTGCCACTGTTGTTGCTACCAACATAATCCTATTAGTCCTAGTCGATTATGATCTGGACATGTCACAATAACCTTATATTAATTTCATACCAAGTCACTAATTTATTATAAACTGCCAATCCTGGGTTGGTCTGGGGAATAGTAATGGAAGAATATTCAACTCTCTCTCGGCACCTCTTACATCATTAAGAGAACTAGAGATGTGTACTTTGTTGGAGGTTTGGAGGCCTTAAACTAAGCAACTGGATTTGGTAAGTTTGATTGGTCCCTNTTACATCATTAAGAGAACTAGAAATGTGTACTTTGTTGGAGGTTTGGAGGCCTTAAACTAAGCAACTGGATTTGGTAAGTTTGATTGGTCCCTCTGGTGTCTTGGTCCCACATTTCTCGGGTCTCAGACTTTGCATGTCTTGCCTTCCTCATGGTAATCTTTCTTAGGATCATGCCATGTTTTTGCATGCAGAGGATAGGGGGGATAAGTGTTGCTAGCTAGGCACCCTAGTACGAGGAAGACATCCTCATGGTAACTGTCATGTTATTTTAATCTCTAAATTTGATTCTAAAATTTGGTCAATATAACATTATTATTTTCAAAGTAATCTTGGCTGCAACATGAGGCGCCTTTGGGCGAGCCACCCCCTTGTCTTAATCGAGCCAACAAATTTAAGGGACTAGCACCATGTGTCTATGCATTCTATTATATTTCCCTACAATAGTGTTTTAAGATCTAATAGTTTATTTTATAATTTATATATTACTCTTTCCGTTCTTAAATATATATCGTTTTACACAAATTTTTTTTGTTCCATAATATATATCGTTTTATGAAACTAAAATATAATTAATATTTTTTCTTCTAAATTTACCCTTAACTTTTCAATGTATTAAATTAGGTGGAGACTAAGTGTCTTTTATATTCTTTTTCTTCCCAATACGTATTAAATAAGAGTATTTTAGTCTCGTGTAATTATTTTTTATTCATATTACAGTTATTTAATAGCTTCTTTAATTCCTGTGCAAAAACCTTAAACGACAGATATTTAGGAACGGAGAGAGTAATATTTTCATTACAATAAATCTATCTATTTTTAATTATAATAAATATTTTAATCATATTTACTTTTTAACTATAGTAAACTTTTTAAGTTCACTAAATACTTCAATCACAATAAATATTTTAATCAAGATAAAAAAGACAACAACACGCTAATCTATCTATATAATATATAAAATAAATAATTTCTTAGAGAGAGACTTTGAGAAACCTTTCTTCTTTAATTTCTAATTCTATAGAATTTTCAATTATTAATTAGATTTCAATAGTTTCTTTAAGTCATATTTTGACATGTGTCGCTTATAACTATTCATCTCTTTTCTCATTAATATTCAATAACATTTAATATTTTTTATCTAATTTTTCTTGTATAAAAATGAGAAAGGGAGAATGATTAAAAAAACAATAACAAAAAAATGATGGATTGTAATTATCCAACATGCATTTTTTTTCCTTGTAACATTTGGCATGGAGTAGTAATGTTGGAATCATTCGATCTCTTAATTCTAGGCTCAAGTCTTTTCCATTCCGATTGGGAAACATACACCAAAAACTTCTCATAATCAGAATGAGAATCACGATCCAACCCCATCATGGAAACCTCAAAAAAAGGTGCAGAGAGAGAAAACGATTAGGAAATCCTTTGGGTATGATTGGAGGATCACCCTCTTTTGCATGATAGAAAGTTGATGGGAGTAATTTTAATCAGTAATGTTAGATTAACTAAAGTTTAAGATTAAATTTAAAGTTTAAATAACATGACAGTTGACTTGGGTTTTTTTGATTGGTGTCATGTTATTTGGGCCCCAATAAAAACTTCAAATAATCAATTGCCTTGTCATTTGGATTCCTTGGTCCCAAAATTTGATCAGTGNGGGTATGATTGGAGGATCACCCTCTTTTGCATGATAGAAAGTTGATGGGAGTAATTTTAATCAGTAATGTTGGATTAACTAAAGTTTAAGATTAAATTTAAAGTTTAAATAACATGACAGTTGACTTGGGTTTTTTGATTGATGTCATGTTATTTGAGCTCCAATAAAAACTTCAAATAATCAATTGCCTTGTCATTTGGATCCCTTGGTCCCAAAATTTGATCAGTANTTAAATTTAAAGTTTAAATAACATGACAGTTGACTTGGGTTTTTTTGATTGGTGTCATGTTATTTGGGCCCCAATAAAAACTTCAAATAATCAATTGCCTTGTCATTTGGATTCCTTGGTCCCAAAATTTGATCAGTGTAGCATTACTCAATTTTAATTGGAGAATGAGTACATCATTATCATTGTTACTAATGAGATATCTGAGTTTTAATTATTATAATAATATTATATTTAGTGTTTAGTTATTGTGTCAGTAATTTAACGTGAAAATTAATATCATTGCCAAATTATTTTAAGAAATAACTTAATTTAAAAAAAGTAATTGATTTTAGAAGGAGAACTTAATTTTTGAAATGTNTTACTAATGAGATATCTGAGTTTTAATTATTATAATAATATTATATTTAGTGTTTAGTTATTGTGTCAGTAATTTAACGTGAAAATTAATATCATTGCCAAATTATTTTAAGAAATAACTTAATTTTAAAAAGGTAATTGATTTTAGAAGGAGAACTTAATTTTTGAAATGTAATTAATTTTAAAAAGGAACATCATTATTATATTTTTATTCTTTTTATAGAATATCCACTCAATTTATATATGAGATTACCTCTATTTGGCATAGATTTAAAATACCCACAATTATTGAGAATTGGGTAATGAATCATTATTCTTGAGTTATATTAGTGAATAATTGATAATCAGAATATAATAATTTAGAATTTAAGAATGACAATCTCATTCTCAATTAAGAGTATCATTATCCAAACGGGCCTAGGAATGGAGAGTGTCTCTCTCGACTGTAAATCTAAAGAGTAATCCTATTGGAATTAAAAAATTGACCTAATCTATTAATCTAATTATACAATTTCACTGTAACAGTTTAGATTAATACAAAATTTTAATGTAAATCCAAATCCTATTGCTCATAAAACCAGATACAGAGTCTCGTAGAAGCACAAGAAGAACTCATGGAGAAGAAGAACACAAGAACAAGAGGTGGCGCTGGCGGTGGCAATGCCAAAAGGCGTGGCGTTGGCGGAGTTTCGAGGCTCCCTCTAGACATGGTGATCGAAGTGCTCACATGTCTTCCGGCGAAGTCTCTATTGCGATTAAAGTGTGTGTCAAAGCTCTGGTGCACAACAATCGGCGNGTCTCGTAGAAGCACAAGAAGAACTCATGGAGAAGAAGAACACAAGAACAAGAGGTGGCGCTGGCGGTGGCAATGCCAAAAGACGTGGCGTTGGCGGAGCCCTTCTTTTTCCAACGCCTACCGCGATCGTTCCAGTTCTCGCTCCACCATCCTCCTCACATACCACGACAGCCACCACTTATTCTGCTTCTATGCCACCCTTCCCTGCCTCGGGGAATCATTCCACCACCGCTGGATTCCATCCCGCGACAAATTCGACGCCCGTGCATTAGTACTCCACCACTGGACTTTACCCCTCTCGAAACCGGACGGCGGTGTCACACAAGTCATTAACGGCCTCTTCTGCTTCTACTCCGGCCACTGTGCTTCTCTCTGCAACATCTCCACCCATGAAATTATGCAACTTCCATCATCAAACCATAAAAGCAAAGACCCATACCCGGATTACTATTTCGGGTTCGACGCCATTGCTGAAGAGTACAAATTGCTTAAATCTTATGGCGATGGACATAAAACAAAAATAAATTACACTCCAAAGTGCGAGATTATCACCCTAGGCAAAGACGCCTCTTGGAGAAGAATTGACAAGTGGAAAATTATATGGACGCAAAGCTTTTGCGTTAATGGGGTTTTGTATTGGATGAATCCAAATCGCCGGCCTTGGGACTTGGATGACATGCACAATTTCATTGCATTCGATCTCAAAGAAGAACAGTTTCAAGAGCTTCCACAGCCACCGGCAACGTCGAAACAAGGTGATTTGGTGCAATTCGGAGGCAAATTGGCTTTGGTGCACGGGTTTGATGATTTGAAGTTGAAGTTGTGGGTATTAGAGGAGCAGGGTGAAGGAGAGTTAAGGTCAATGTCATGGACCAACTATGAAAGCTACGTTCCAGACGGAGTATGCAACCATGTAAAATGGTGGAATAACTCGAATTCTTATCAACCAAATTATCCTATGTTACTACAGCTCGCCCCACCATTACATGCACAGAACGGACCTGACGGAGGTGAACATGTTTTTCCAGTAGGCAATCTTCCAACCGGTGAGATATTATTGAATGGTGGAAGGATTCGATCTCTCATGTCCGTTTATTCGTATGATCACAATGGGAAGTTTAAAGAAATTGATATTGGTCAATTGCCAGAAACTCCAGATTTAGTCGAAAGGAAAGGAGACGTGTTCCGACTATATTACCATGAGGAGAATGTCACACCATTGAAAGATTTGATTAGCAGCAAACAATTTGACAAGAAGTAAGTGTGTCAAAGAACCCTCCATGCCAACTTTGATTATCTAATTTTGTGTGTTTTTGGTTTGAGCAATGTTATGTAATCTAAATTTACAATCCAAATGAAAGAGATCAGTGGATCAGTGGATCTCATTTAAAAAAGTTGGTGGGAAGCAATCATCCAATGATCCTTTCATTTGGGATGTAAATTTATGTTGCAAATTTGAGTTACATAGTATTTTCTTTAAATAAACAATAAACATTAAGAAAATGTATTTATTATTACTATTGGGAAATGCAATGTTGTCCAAATAGAATTACTAATTCGTAATTAAGGGTCAACCCCTCGGATTCTTTTTTAATTTCTTGGCGTCTAATTTACACATCATATGCCATTAGAGTATTTATATTTTCTTGTGGACTAAGACTTGTGTGTTTATTTTGTATTTCTAAAGAAAATTTTGTTTTATGTGTGATGTGATGGTGCAATGTAAGCTGTGGCGTCTGCCGAGTCTCTCCCATTGTTCTTTGTTAGAAATTTGATCTTTTTTCCTCCAATCCTTGGACTGAAATGAAAGATTGCTGATTCTGCCTGTCAGCTCCTTGAAAATTTTGGTAGTTATTTATTCTGGTTTAGAAAAATTACACTTTGACACCCTAAACTATGGACTAAATTCCACTTTACTCTATGTTGTCCCCTCAATTCCTTTAATTATTTCACATTGCCTCAACCGTACATGTGAGAAAAATTATGTAATATACGAGATAAAATAAAGTAATTTTTGTCAAATTTATAATGTACGTTAATAACTAGGATGATGTGAAACAAATTACATAATTGAGGGTGCAATGTGATAAACATAATTGAAAGTATAATATGCAAAACAGAATAATTGAGCGGATAATGTGGAAAAGTGTCATATTTGAGGGATCAAAATATAATTTATGCTGCTGGTTTTCACCCTGGTGAAGTGTTTCTTACTCAAACGTTTTGAATGTAGATCTGGTGTTTTAAAAGGTTTGTAAACTACACTAGACTAGGCTCTAGATGAAACAGCAAGAGTATCACTTGAACACACAGATTTCTCCTTGAACTTACATAAAAATTAGTCTATTATTTGTTAATTAGTAATTGTTCGAGTTTGACAGCACTATATAAACAAAAAAATTGTAAACAACTACCTATGCACACGAAGGTGCTATACAATGCAAACAAAAATTCAGAAGATAAAATATTTCATTGATCCAAAGAATATATATATTATAATGAGGTTCAAATACAAACCTGTCGCACAATAAAAAAAAAACTAAAATTCAACTCATCGGTTAAGTACAACATTTTGAGTTCTATCTTGCACTTTTGAGTATAGTGAATCCTTTATGAGAAAGTCAAATCAATCTACCCCATTGATTTAACCGATCACACCTTAACTTTAAGTGCCAAAAATGTTGAGTCTTTATAATATAACCCATTGGAAAACTTTGTACACCATGGCAATCTCCGGAACCCAATAAAACAACGCAAGAACTTTAACTAATAGTTGCAAATAGACCTTCCTACTATACCATTCATCCTTCCTTTTCTCATCATTGACATAAAATAAAACAAAATTAAAACTGACCTAATTGCTTCATTTTTCCAGAATTGTTTTTAACAAATTACATTGTATTATCAAAAAGTCTTTTATTTTGCTTTTCAAGTCGAAGCCATTAGCTATTTCTGAAGTGACACTCAACCAGATGGTTCAAAAGACTATGAACAAAAGGTTTAATAGCAGTCATAATGGATGCCTAAACATTCAAAGTATAACAATTTTTTTTGAAATTAGTAATTAAAACTCTTGATCCAATCACACAAACCTAGGTATACAAAATTAATAAAGCATGTAGAATAAAGATAAAGAAACTTCATTAAAAAAAAATTCCAATATCAAATAGTCAGAATTCTGTGAGTAAACGTGAACCTTTTGATTTTCTTTCATAAAAGTTTTCCCAAAAACACACTGACTAAATGAGCAATGCAAAACAAAGTATTTCAAATCTATACAAATAATTTTACCTTCACTCTCTATTGTTTGTTATGCCAAAATGAATCCCATTTTGGCATCTTTGTAGCACTAAAAATGTAACACAAAAAAATGTTAATTAAAAACATTTTGAATTCTCCATCAATTGTACATACCTACAATTGGAGTCAAGAATCAAAGCCACAATTTTATTTAAAACAAAACTCAGATATACCAACTCTTCTGTCCTAATTTTGCCTCAAGTGGACCTAGGCATCAGCTCCATTAACGGCCATACATCCATTTTTAGCTAGTTCAACTGATGCCCAACATAAATATGTGGTATCAATTACTTGTAAGAGACTTGTCTTGGCGTCTGGAGACAGTTTCAAGCCTTCAATGATCTTTCTTATGCTTTCCTTTGTAAATGCTCTTAATTCCATCAAAAACTCTTTCACTAGAATCCCCCAAAAAAATCGGCTATCTTCCCACCAAATCCTTCATGTTCAACAACATTTGCGTGATTGAAGGAGATACACTCCGAAAGAGATTCTTTCTTTCTTTAATTTCTTCTAGCAACTTCACATTGGTGCTTTGTTACCAAAATTCATACTGTTTGTGATGCTTTTTAGGAGATATTTATGGGTGTGCTTTGTCAACAAATCCTCCAAAAACCCAAGTTTTGAGTTAACCTCACTGTTTGACATCTTACCCAAGAGTCCTAATGCGTTTGTTTGACTTGCACTTTCGAATGAAAGAAAACAATTTCACCTCCTTATCAATATTGACAACCAGCTTCCTCTCCCCCAAAGCCATCAACTCTCCTCACCCCTAATTATTATCCTAGACAATCTCATCCAATATGAACTTCATTTCAGCTTTAAACATCCACATCATATAAGAACTATTAACTTATTTTTGAATCTATTGCCAAACTACTCCAGTAATTTCGACCAAAAAAATAACAGGTTAATGCAATGGGTCAGTTATTACTTCCAACTTTCCATGACTCTATTTCTTTGTTGTGTCTCTCCTATGTAACTGGCTCTCTTAATTTTCGCCTCAACCCCCCCCCCCCTCTCTCACACACACGAGAAAAATATTTAATACAACGGTAATATCATATTATGTGTTATTATTGGCTTACATGTAAGAAAAGTGGATAGTTATTGACTTACATATACATGTAATTATTAGTTTGTGTGAAGTCCGTTTTTATATTTATTTACACATTATTGGTTGATAATAGTAAGCGGGGCCGGTCCAATAACTCGGCCAAATAAGTAGGCGCTTTAGGCCCCATATAAAAGTAAGGCCCCATTTTTTTTATAAGTCTTCAATATGATCGAGACAAAAAATTTGAACTCATAAATTAAGTCTAAACAAAAAGGTCCTATATAATTTAAACTAACAAAAAATTGAGCCCAAAAGCCCAAACTTGTTTGTGGCATACCATTAATTACTCTCTCTAACCAGTCAAAAGAGTCAATCACATCAATTAAACATTCGTGTCAATACATCAACCTCTTTCTCTCAAATTGTTTTTTCATCTAAAACACAAACGAAGGATTCTCTCTCTCATTTTGCTTGTGACCATCTTTCTAAATCACACACAAACAACGTCATCGAATCAACCCTAGTATATTAATTGATACTCACACTTTCTCTTTTTCAATTTTATTTTGTAAAAATATAGGGTCAATTCCCTTATTCTTTTTGTTTTATTTCTTTGATAGGTGATATTAAAGGAGAATCAAATTATAATATCCTAAGTTTTAGGAACACTAGTGATAAAATTAAGTTTTATAATTTTGATTTTTATTAAGTTTTTTTTTTCTTATAGAGAGAATTTGATTGATTTATATAAAAAAAATTGGATTGTCAAAAATTTTTGGTTACTAAAATGCAACAATTCAGATACGAGAAACTTACAAAAAAAAAGAAAAAAAGGGAAAATCTAATTGAATCCTACAAAAAGACCCCTTAATAAATTTAATACTAGTAATAAAAAGATATAACAAAAGACTAGGTGAAAGTTCTGAAATGATCAAGTGATAGATCTTAAAGAATTAGAAAATATTAAAATTATTCACCAAAAAAATAATAAATAGATTTTTTATTGGGATGGGTAAACATGAATTTGAAAAAAAATAAAACAAAAAGATTCCCCTTTTAAAATCCTCGCTTTAGGCCCCAAAAGTGCTTGAGCCAAAAGTGGTATCATTGTTTCAATAAATATTTTTTTTCCTTCCACACACATACCCATGACCAACACCCCCCCCCCCAACATGATCAGGCCATCTACATTTCTTTGATTACTCTTTCAAGATACTCTGATCCAAAAGTTAATGATATTACTCATTCCTAAGGTGATTTTTTCATAATCTATAAAAGTTTTATTCACGCATGAATCTATAGGCGTATTACATGAGTAAGAGAACCTAGTTTAAACGTATGAAATGGGATTGAACTAACCCTAATCTTACCTCGGGTTGAAAAACTCAACCAGAACATTGCCGAAGTTTAATTCGGGCGGATTTGAATTGAATTTGAATTAAAGATTTCGGACTACTTTACAGGTTGATTTCGGGTTATTTCAATCAAGAGGACTTGACTTTCTTATAAATCGACAACTTCTCTTCCAAACAACAACTAAGCAATGGTTGCACATAAACAACAATATGACTTGGTAACTTGGAATGAATCTTTAATTATGAACACAAAACACAATACAGTGAAAATCTTGAACATGATTCCCATTAGCTTCATGGTTGTTTCTTTATGACAACAGCTTCAGCTTCATTTTTTTTATAATAGGGAGAAATGTAGTTTAATTGGTTAAATTGTTTCAAATCAAGAGACCCCACATATGTGATCCCTGAGCTCAAATTTCTTGATTCTAGTTGGCTCACATAGTCATCGCAGCTGTTATTTGGAAGCCTCGGATCTGAGAGTGAGAGATAAGTCTGAGAGTGGGAGTGAGAGACTAAGAGATCAAGAGAGACTGAGAGTGAGATTAACCCTAGGATAAAATTTGGTTCAACCCGAGGCCAACCTAATTTGAATTCAGGTTGAGGTTTTTTTATTTAAGCTCAATCCAAGTATTAAAAATCCTAACCCAAACTCTAATTTTTTCGGGTTGAGCTCGAGTTAGCCCGCCTAAGTTGCACTCCTAATTTCAACCCCATGAATCATTGCATAGTGTTCATGGACTAATAGTTGTGCAATAAAAAGAAAATAGAAAAATAGAAAAACGAGCAAAAAAAAAAAAAGAAAATAGAACACAATCTTGGAAACAGGTCGAAGATTGAAATGGAGTTTAGGACTCTAATGGCCATTCAACAAACCTTTTAACAAAAATAATTATAACCCAGAAAGGTTTCTATTTGTCAAGTGTTTTAGGTGAGACAAATTCTAGATAGAGACTTGACATTTGGGGTAATGCAAAAAAATTGGCCAAAAAATGTGTCTGTCTATAAACTTTTGACAATTCAAAGGTATTTTTTTTTTTGATAATTCAAAGGTATTAATTAAGGAAAAATGGAGGGCTTTGAGCAATTTTGCCGAAGTTTTTGTATGGTGTAATTGCCCACATTTCCAAACATATCTTTCTTTTTTGAGCACCATTCAACTGGATTTTCTGTAATATATTGATTAGATTAATGCTCCGTTTGTTACGATGAAAAAGTAAGAGGATAAAAAGTTGAAATGATGAAAAGTTTAAGTGACAAATAAAACATCATATATGTTAAGGAAGAAAAATAGGAAGGATGGAAAAGTGGATGGATTAAATTTCCTTCCAACTCACCAAAATCAATTCCTCCAAAATTAGAAGGAAAGTGGATGCAAAGTTAATTATTTGTGTTGAGATGTATCTTATTTGTCTATATATCTTATGTATACATTAATTTCATGTAAAAATATAATGGTAAAATATGTATATATAATTTTAAAAAATTAGAAATTAAAAATTTAAAAATTTAAAAAAATAAAAAAATAAAAATAAAAATTTTAAGTTAAATTTTTTTTTTTCCATTTTAACTAATGGTGAAAATTTTTGACTCAACACGATGACACGACTCGAAGTCGATACGAAAATAAATAGGTCAACTCGTAACTCGACACGACACAATTAGTTAAATAAATTAAATTAGATTTAACTAATATTCGACACAAACTCGTAATGACTCAACACGAATCTAACACGACACGATTCGACTCTATTATCACCCTTAATCTTAGCCAACACAAAAAAAAAAAATAATCATTTTTATTTTTCATCCATCTAATCAAACACAAAAGAAGAAAAATATATCCTTCTTACTTTCTATTTTTAAAAGATAAAAAATATATTCTTCGTACTTTTCATCTTTCCTATTTTTTATACTCCTCGGAAGCACAAATGAAAATATAATAACCTGATATAATCTAACTGAATAGTTAACTCTGTTGTTCTTACTGAGGGAAAATTATATAATAGTCGATGACAGATCTGTATGGATACCACCTCATTTTCGTCTAGGAGTTGTCTATAATGTACGAATGACAAAGACTTGTGCCAAAGATCCACCACTCATCATCTAACCCCTGAAGGACTAAACAGGTACCACAGATTCTACACGTCTGAATCTTTTTTGTGAGCCATGGTGTCCCAATGTCTCAACCCCCATCTCCGTCCTCATCCCCACCATGCCCTGACCTCTGCAATCTTCTCGAACCCAAAACCCAACCCCTTCTTCACCCCCTTTCTCTTTCCAACCACCAAATTAACTGCCACCCATTTTCCTTATCACCCTTCTCTTCACAAAAAATGTCCCTCTCTCTCATCCATGGCCTCAAGTCAACCCCAAATTAGTCCCCAATTTGATGGTTTTGAACCTGATCCCACCCTAACCAATGAAGATCTCCGGCCGACAACGCCCGATCAACGGACTTTTTCCGGCTGGGAAATGGCTAGTCTATGGGTGGGACTTGTGGTGGGTGTGCCTACGTACTACTTGGCTGGTAGTCTTGTTGACCTTGGCATGGCTTGGTGGCAAGGAATTGCCACTGTTGTTGCAGCCAACATAATTCTATTAGTTCCTCTGGTCCTAACCGGTCACCCCGGGGTGCGTTACGGCATCTCTTTCCCAGTTCTTGCTAGATCATCTTTTGGTATTCGTGGTGCTCATATTCCAACTCTCCTTAGAGCTTTAGTTGGTTGTGGTTGGTATGGGATTGAGACTTGGATTGGTGGTGAGGCAATTTTCCTTCTTTTGCCAAAAATCATCAAAGAATCAACCTTGTCACAACCCCTATCTTGGGTTGGTACTTCCCCTCTTGAATTTGCTTGTTTCATTGTCTTTTGGCTAGCTCAATTGACAATAGTTTGGAAGGGAATTGATGGTATAAGAGAGCTTGAAAAGTACTCTGCTCCAATTCTTATTGTACTCACATCTTGCCTCCTCATTTGGTCCTATGTCAAGGCTGGTGGCTTTGGTCACATGCTCTCCTTATCTTCTAGGCTCTCCTCTTCAGAATTTTGGTCACTCTTCTTCCCTTCCCTCACCGCGAATATAAGTTTTTGGGCAACTGTTGCATTGAATATACCCGATTTCACCCGATATGCCAAGAGCCAAACTGATCAAATTATTGGTCAGGTTGGCCTTCCAATCTTCATGGGTGCATTTACATTTGTTGGACTTGCAGTAACCTCATCAACCAGTGTAATTTTCGGGCGTGTTATATCGAATCCAGTTCAACTTCTTGGGGAAATTGGAGGACTCTCAACCATGATCCTTTCCATTCTAGGTATCAGCCTTGCCACACTCACAACCAACATTGCTGCCAATGTGGTGGCACCTGCCAATGCACTAGTCAATCTTAGCCCTTCGAAGTTCACTTTTCGAAGAGGGGCACTTCTAACAGCACTGCTTGGGATTGCTTTTCAGCCATGGAGGCTTCTTCAATCAAGTGAGAGTTTTGTTTACACATGGCTGGTTGGCTACTCTGCACTATTGGGTCCAATTGGAGGCATAATCTTAGCAGATTACTATCTTATTCAGCAGGCAAATCTTAATGTCAAGGACTTGTACTCATTGAGTCCTCATGGGGCTTATTATTATTCGGGTGGATTCAATTTGGCGGCGATGATGGCTTTGGTTGTCGGGATTTTGCCAGTGATTCCTGGTTTGTTGCAGAAGGTTGGAATTCTAAGTTCAGTTCCAGATTCATTGTTGCTCATTTACAACAATGCTTGGTTCTTTAGCTTCTTTTCTGCTGGAATCCTTTACTGGATTCTTTCATGTTTGAAAGGAAAGCAATTGAGTTCTCAACCTGTAGATCCCCTTTTACCCAATACATCTTAATTGTTGTCTTCTTTTGCTTTGTCTATTGTCAATGTTAAAAAAGTCCATGTTCACGCAGTGTAGAAAGTTACAAATACTTTTCTGGTTGATTTTTGAAATAATCTAGGTTTCTGGCACTGAATGTTCTGTTATACAGTAATTAGGCAACCATTAATTTGTTTGTCTTCACTATACCTGTGCAATGATAAAGACTTTGTGGGTTCGAGTTTGGGAATTAGTCTTTTGAAAATTAGACTCATGCACATGTCTTAAATTTTTATCTAACTACAAGATCTACTTTTTTAGATTAAGCTTGAAGATCATACTCTTGCACATCACTATTCAAACCAAAATCTCGTGAAAAATATCATGTTAGAAAAATATATATGTATACATTATGTATGTGTAAATATGTAATATGTTAATAATTAACTTGCCCAATATGCTTGAGATCTTATGAAACACTTCAAGTTGTCCCCTTTAGTTGGTGTTTCACAAGTAAATAACAAATGTAGAATAGGTGATTCCATGCTAAGTTTGTAAATTTACTCTCCATGAGTATTTGAACAAACTTCTCCTTTCTATTTTTACAAGCAACACATCAAGCCTAGTCAATAGTAAATCTTCATGATTTCTCTTATATGTACTTAAAATATTCTCCTTTTTTTTGTCACAAATGTCATCCCAATGACGACATGCAACAAGCACGGTACAAAATTAAGTTATCTAACATATTCTTATCTTATTTTCTATAAATGTCAACCTAATGAAAACATATAACAATCATGACACAAAATCATATTATAACAAGAAGGTATGAATGCAAATCAACTACCTAAATCATGCATATAAAGTATGTAAGGGACAAACAAGACATATAACTCAAAGTCAAATATGATAAAACATCAAGATTATGACTAAGAATGTGTCACAACAAATAAAAAGTTAACTAAAAAAATAAAAGTAAATAAACTAGAAAATTCAACAAAAAAAATAAAGAGCACTTTATTAAAGGCCATGGATAAATAAACACACACTCAATCTCCCATATGACCTAGACTAAAAGTCTCTAAAGAACAACTCAAATGGCTGCATCACACTCCACCAGCTCCGTCATCTACTCCCTATGTATCGGGCTCATCTGTGTTAATAAAACCCGCATTTTGTAACATATGTCTGAGATGTGGAAACCTCCCTACAAATATCCCACTGATCTCTCACAATACTAGACATCCAGTCGCCGAGTGCATCTAGTCTGAGAGCAATAAGGCTATGCAGCTAATCTATACAATTCTGTAAGTGCCTTAAAGTTGTATGACCATCGGTGTACTGATTAAGTGCAGTTGTAGAAGATGTCCTAGGGAGGGTGGAACGTGAGGTACAGGCTTGTGCCGACCTTGATGGTAATGCATGACTCAATGAGATAGGCTCAGTAGTAGGACCATGTAGCTCGGCTTCCATCTTATCACCCTCTACCTGAGCCTCCATGGGGTCAAATGTGTAACGAGCATGTGTCTCGCTCTATCTCAAGGACTCCTTCCCAAGAGATATCTTGGATCTCGATAACTAATCAGTCTCTAATGACTTAGCACCCTGATCTAGACATACTCCGGTGATAAGAAGCCCAAATGGCAAACTATCAGAAATCCTCCCCTCGTCAAATGCTCTCTGAATCACTCTAAAGATCACTTGTGGAAAATAAATCTGTAAACTTGTACAATAGCATGTAAAAGGTAATCTTGAGTTATAGTGTGTGACTTTGGATCTATGTTGTAGTTGACAATCAGATCAATAAACCTATAATCTCTAATCAAGTCCTTCTGGTTCCACAACTAGCCATTCCAACCATCGGAATAAGGAACTTTTGTACAACATAGAAGCAACAGTTGACATAATAGGTAGAACACTCTCTAGTCTAGAGTGGTATGCATCATGTGCTACTTGGGGAAGATGCAGGGTGGTGGCAATAAGGTCTATGTGGAACTCGAACAACACACTGTGGATATAGGTCATAAAATGTTCACCATCCTGAGTAGTGTCCCGAATGTGTGCGTAAAACTCCTTGACCATGTCCATATTTACTGTTAGAGGTGCTGCAAATAGGTCACTCAACCCTTTGGACTCGAAGATCGAAGGGACAATAGTATGACTTACCCCATTGACGTACACTCCTCTCTTGACCAACACAGGACTGGATGAGAATTGTCTCATATACTACACTTTGTACTATGGGCTCTAGAACTGACCTCTCCCTCTATCTGCATGTACCTAACCTTCTTCTCATCTTTTAGAGGCATTTTTCAAAACTAGTCAATGAAATAGTGTGTGTGTATGAAAAACACAGATCTAAACTCAAACTACACTTAGGGTATATTTGTTAACCCAAATTCAGCACTTAAAATGAATTTATTTGGCACTTTTTAATTAAGCTTGTTTGATAACTAAAATTTCAACTCTCTTAATATGTTAAGTGCTCCTTTAAAATAGCTTACAATATTAAGTAGGAGATCTCTTACTTAATTCTGAAAAATTGAAAGCACTCAGTAAAATTATTTTTAATAATATTTATAATATAAAAATTATACTACAAAATATTTTACAATCCTATTAAAACTCTAATTAATGTTCTTTCCAAAATCCCTAACCTATCTATCCTCCTTATTGATCCTATTCTTCAACGACAAGTAAGTCTTCTGGCTGTCAGTTTCCCTTGTCTTCTTCTTCTTCTTTTTTTTTGATCAGATGTTATTATTCAGTTATTGTGTTATTCAATTTATTATTGTTCATTTGTTGTGATTGTTCACTTATTGTTATTCGATTATTTATTAGTTATTTTTTTATCAGAAGTTATTATTTACTTATTGTGTTATACATATATTATTTTTTTGGTTAGATGTTATTGTTCACTTATTGTGTTATTCAGTTTGTTATTGTTCACAATATTCGATTATTTATTTATTGTGTTTTGTTATTGGTTAATTGCCTTTTGTTCTTCAATTCTTGTAATCATCAATTTTTTTTTGTATTATGTTAACTATTCTAGTGGGTCACAATAATAATTTTGACAATGTTAAACAACACCATATAGTCTAATATTCTATTAAAAAATGATTATGTAGGGATGACTTCTAGTGATGGTGCCATAGCAAATTGGAAGAATCTAGATTTGCTTAAAATCTTTATAGATTTATGTGAGCAAGAATCATCTGATAAAGAAAAAAATGGAGATAGCCTGAAAAAAGAATCTTGAGATTGTATGAGGGTAGCTTTAAAGAAGCTGAAGAATGTTGACTTCTCCCAGAAATAATTGAATAATCAGTGGAAATATCTAAGAACAAAATATGGAATATTGTGAAAAATAATATCAAAAACTGGAAATGGTTACGATCCAGAAAAAAATATTGTAAATTAGAGTTCAATAAAATGGGAGAAGTATATAAATGTATTACTTTATTCAGTGTTAATTATTCTTATAGAACTATAACACAAATAATTCATGAGCTTTTTTATATTTTTATATCACAAGCTAATCCAAATGCAAAGCAATTTCGCTATAATGGACTACAGAATGCAAATGAGTTAAAAGTTTTGTTTTATGGTTTTAGAGAAATTGGAAAAATTCATGGGGTCCATCTAAGGAAGTGTTGTCTACGAAAATGGTCGGTTCTTAGTCACATACACCAACTAATCTTAACTTCGAATCTATTGAGACAACTTTTTCACCAAAAGATGTGACAAAATAAGACAATAAGCATCAAAAGAAAAGCAAACATAGTGACATTGATGAACAACTATTTGAAGCTCTTAAGACAATACAAAATGTTGATGGACCAAGTATAGAAGAATGCAATCGTATTTTGGATGAGATGCAACTTTTTGAAATGAGTGACCCATTATATTTTATTGCGTGTAGTTTTTTGTGAGAGTAAAATACACAGAGAGCAGTGGATGTTATTATATCAAAAACCAGAAGTAGTTAGAAAGACGTAGATATACATCAATGGTAAGAAACTAAAGTTATTTTGAATTTTAGGAATTACTAGAAGTTATGAGTATTTTTTTTTATAGGAAGAATTTAGGGGTATTTTGAATGTGAAAGATTGTTTACATTTGTTTTTATAATATTTGATAGTATACTATTATTTCAATAAGTATATCATTCATTGATGACATTGTTATTGTTGAAATTATTTGTAGTGATTTTTGAGTGTTAATTATTTTGAAGCTGACATACATAATTAACTTGGCTTATGTTAGACTAATTAGATTTTATTAATATTTTCCAATAGCATGTTGTCTGAAAAACAAAAGCGTGCATTGAAGGTTGTTGTAACTTATTTGATATTCAAAATATTGAGGAAAAAACTTGTTGGACAAAGGCCAGACACTGATGGTTTGCTTCGTGGCTCTGAATATTTAAAATGAAATACTTGATGTAAATCCAAGTCATTGTCAAGAGATGCTAATGATGAAAAAAAAGCTTTTATAAGTTTATGTGGCCATTTTCGAAATAGAGGGGGACTTGAAGATAGTCGTTATGTATCCATAGAAGAGAAGATGACAATGTTTCTCACAACATTGAGTCATAACATACGAAATCGTTTTGTGAAACGAAGATTTAATCATTCAATACAAACAATACATAAATACTTCAATGAAGTATTATAAGCTATGCTCCATTTTTCAAAAGAGATGATTGTCCCAACAACTACGAATTCATTCAATCACATAACTCATCACCGTCGGCTCAAAGGATATTTAAGGTATTGTTTTGTTTTATTTTAACTTCATAGTATATGTAATGATTTAAAACTTTTTAAACTTCTCACATTTGTACTAACATAATTATTTTTGAAAGGGTGTGATGGGTGCACTTGATGGAACTCTTATTTGTGAAATTATACCACCAGACAAACAAGTTCCATACAGAGGAAGAGGCTAAGGAGAATATTTTCAACATGTATTTTTTATATGTGATTTTGACCTTTTATTCACATTTGTGTGGGCATGCTGGGAAGGGG